ATGAGTTGGTAGGCCATGAGTTTTCAATGGGTTGGTAGGCCATTATTTTTTTATGAGTTGGTAGGCCATAAGTTCTTTATTGGTAGGCCACGAGTTCTCTATGAGTTGGTACGCCATGAGTTCTCTATTGGTAGGCCACGAGTTTTCTATGAGTTGGTAGGCCATGAGTTTTCTATGGGTTGGTAGGCCATTATTTTTCTATGAGTTGGTAGGCCATGAGTTTTCTATGAGTTGGTAGGCCATTATTTTTCTATGAGTTAGTAGGCCATAAGTTCTTTATTGGTAGGCCATGAGTTTTCTATGAGTTGGTAGGCCACGAGTTCTCTATTGGTAGGCCATTATTTTTCTATGAGTTGGTAGGCCATGAGTTTTCTATGAGTTGGTAGGCCATGGGTTCTCTATTGGTAGGCCACGAGTTCTCTATGAGTTGGTAGGCCATGAGTTTTCTATGAGTTGTTAGGCCATGAGTTTTCTATGGGTTGGTAGGCCATTATTTTTCTATGAGTTGGTAGGCCATTATTTTTCTATGAGTTGGTAGGCCATTATTTTTCTATGAGTTGGTAGGCCATGAGTTTTCTATGAGTCGGTATGCCATGAGTTTTCTATGAGTTGGTATGCCATGAGTTTTCTATGAGTTGGTAGGCCATAAGTTCTTTATTGGTAGGCCATTATTTTTCTATGATTTGGTAGGCCATGAGTTCTCTATGAGTTGGTAGGCCATGAGTTCTCTATTGGTAGGCCATGAGTTTTTATATTAGTTAGTAGGCCATGAATTTTCTATGAGTTGGTAGGCCATGAGTTTTCTATGATTTGGTAGGCCATGAGTTCTCTATGAGTTGGTAGGCCATGAGTTCTCTATGAGTTGGTAGGCCATGAGTTCTCTATTGGTAGGCCATGAGTTTTTATATTAGTTAGTAGGCCATGAGTTTTCTATGAGTTGGTAGGCCATGAGTTTTCTATGATTTGGTAGGCCATGAGTTTTCTATGAGTTGGTAGGCCATGAGTTCTCTATGAGTTGGTAGGCCATGAGTTCTCTATGAACTGGTAGGCCATGAGTTATATTCTGAAAAATTAGTCAATTATTAAAATGTTCTTATTTGAAACAAACTGAGAACCAGATAAAAAAAATACTATTGTTAGCATGATTTGGGACAAAACAAAATAAATTTAATTTATAAGAATTTAAAATTACATAAAATTTATCTTGTCTTGTTTGATTGATTCTCAGGCCGTCCAGCGAAGGGGATGACTGTAAAGGTCAAAATGTGGAATTTAGACTTTGTAATACCCAGGTAGGTATTATTTAGACTTTGTAATACCCAGGTAGGTATTATTTAGACTTTGTAATACCCAGGTAGGTATTATTTAGACTTTGTAATACCCAGGTAGGTATTATTTAGACTTTGTAATACCCAGGTAGGTATTATTTAGACTTTGTAATACCCAGGTAGGTATTATTTAGACTTTGTAATACCCAGGTAGGTATTATTTAGACTTTGTAATACCCAGGTAGGTATTATTTAGACTTTGTAATACCCAGGTAGGTATTATTTAGACTTTGTAATACCCAGGTAGATATTATTTAGACTTTGTAATACCCAGGTAGGTATTATTTAGACATCATTTTTATAATAATGCTATTAATTACTATCTAGTGTTTGCATATACTGTAAATAATTAAATACCTAGATGGTCACTTCTCTGGAAATTTTGTGTGCCACCAACAGAAAATTTCCATCCATTATTTGAGACCAGTTTTAACCTATCTGATACCCCAGTGAATATTTATCTTATTCTTCTCAAATTCTCAAATTTAGTGTGTGGTGTTTGCATAAATCTGAATAGGTAATGAGATATTACTGGCATAGTACCTAGGCATAATAGTGAGTGGAATGTCACATAGATGACTACAACATCCTATAGTGTGTGGCGTTTGCATAAATATGAATAGGTAATGAGATATTACTGGCATAGTACCTAGGCATATAGTGTCTGTGAAACCGTTCTGTCATTATGAAATTATGAAAACTGCACATTTATTAATAGTACTTACCGGCAATTAAAAAATAATGGTATGCGGGAAAAGTACATTCTCTTTTTTATCATTTATTTCATTGAACTTGCATTACTACTAATTGATAAATTTACACTAATTGTCCTTTTTTTCTCTATTTCCAGGACTGTCAAGATAGTAATGTAGATTTCCGAGCACAACAGTGTGAAGACAGTCATAAGAACTGGCAAATCAAAAAAAGAAAACATACATGGCTACCTCATGAAAATAGCAATAGTGAGTATATCATGTCACATGCTTGATTCTAGTTGAATCCAGTTCATTCCAGTTGAATCCAGTTCATTCCAGTTTATGCTTGAACTATTATATGTAAAACATTCATTTGACTTCTAGTCATGGCAGGTTAGGGTAGTTATGTTAGGGTGGTAATTGTAATTACCATTTTTTTTCTGATTAAATTTGGTTTATTCTGGTACAAACTGGTTCTATTCAACTACATTTCACTTTCTATTGTTGATTCCCGATCATCAATTTAGACTAGATTTTTTCAGGTTCATTCCACTTTGATAAATTATCAAACTAATAATAATAATAACTTGTAATTGTTGCAGGTTCTCTACAGTGCAAACTAAGTTGTATATCTGAAGAAACTCATGATCTTAGTGTCTCCAGCTTAAATGTAATAGATGGCACGAGATGTTCATATGATAACAGTAATAATATTTGTGTACAGGGACAATGTCAGGTAATATCATCACCTATTAGATAGTGTATTCATGCTAAAACATGTAGTAAAAATTTACTTTGGATGTATGGGTTAGTAAAAATACATAATGTATCTGTATTCTTGATTTTGAAAAGTGCTGAATGGATAAATTATTTTATTCTGGGTGATAATTTGTAATCTTAATTTAACGCACTTGTCACCACACTCTGTTATGTTAGATATGGCTTCAATATCCATTGTTTATTTACATGAGTATATTTGTTTGATTTTGTAGATTGTTGGTTGTGATAACAAGTTGGGTTCTTCTTTACGTGAAGATCAATGTGGTGTTTGTGGAGGAGATAACAGTGACTGTAGAACTATTAGAGGAACATATAACAAAAAACCAAGGAAGAGTAAGTAGATATCATAATTTTTTTAAAGAGAAGGACTGTGATGCTTAGAGTTTTCTTTTTTAGACAAGACATATAAATAATTAATCTTTAATTTAAGGATTAGTTTTTGTTATTACTAAAAGTTTTGCGCAGCTTGCAAAACAAGAAATTAATGTATTATAAAGTTAATCCCTGTGAGAAATTAATATATATACATGTAGTTTGAACATGTGGCATGTCAGATATACAGCTCTGGAAAATGACTTCCAGTCAGCCATTTTTAATCTGATTGGAAAAAACAAAACGATGTGCATCAATGTTCCATTGTGTATACACCAAATTTGAATGAAATCCATCCACACACACACAACTGAGATCTGGTAACGGAGTGGTGGAAATGTTTGATTTTATTTCATTTTATAGTTCCCTAAACGGAGTCGGGTTGAGAGAGAATTATTTCAATCATACATAATTTAACTATTGTTTCTTTCAATCCAGAATTCCAGAAGATGGTCGTACTTCCAAAAGGTGCAAGATATGTTGAAGTATCTGAAACATCTCCATCAAGAAACACAATTAGTAAGTATATTAATACAGAACACTTTTTAATTAAAATATATTAGTTTGGGTATTATTTCAACAGCCATCACATATTTAGAGGTCCAAAGTCAGTACCAAAGTGTGGATCTTCATTATCATAAACTTAGAGGGTCCTACTGAGTGACCCATGCCCACAAACAGTTCTGTATCTCTGATCTAAGAGAATAATAATACATATGATGAATAAGGAAATCATAATACAAAATTATGGTAATGGGATTACTTTATGTCAATTATAAACTATTTTTGATACAAAATTTCTTTCATTATTTTCCCCAGCTGTGAAGGACAGAGAAACTGGACACTACATTTTAAGCAATAACTATGAAGACTCAAAAGATACAGTATTTATTACAGCGGGAACAAAGTTCACTTACACTGTAGAAAATGAGAAAGAGACTCTGTCTGCAAGTGCAGCTTTACAAAGAGATATTATTATATTGGTAGGTACATTTTACTTTATAAGAAATATAGTAATTAATATAATATAGTGATATATTGGAAATGTAATATTTTAATTCATGGTGCCCCCCAGTTATCTTTTTATTTTATTAAATAGTTTGGTTATTTCATACTTTAAAACTGAGTTATCTCTTTCTTTTAATTCCTATTTCTTGCCAAGCTGGTACAAATGTTTGAAATCAGAAATAGCAATGACTGACATTTTACTTTTAATTATATGTATTGTATTTAATTACTTATTAATTATTTGATTGCTGTCAACCAATGGAATTTATTAATATTATTTTAGTATTGTCATGGTGCAAACATAAAATCTATTCTTGTTGTTTTATTTATTTATTTTGGTAACCCTTTTTTTAGGTGCATGCATACAGTCTTCAGAATCCTGAAGAGATGAAAGTAAATTACAGATATGTGATGCACAAACATCAAGTTGATGATGAAGTAGTCAGCAATAAACGATTTCATGATCCATCAAGTACAAAAGAGAATAAGATACCTGATAAAAGCACTAGATTTAGTTGGGAGATGGCTGGTTGGTCTGATTGCACTAAAAAGTGTGGAGGTGGTAAGTAATAGAATAGAATAGAATAGAATAGAATAGAATAGAATAGAATAGAATAGAATAGAATAGAATAGAATAGAATAGAATAGAATAGAATAGAATAGAATAGAATAGAGTAGATAGAAGAGAATAGAACAAAGCAGAACAGAACAGAAAACAAAAAACAAAATAAAAAATGCCTAATACTGAGACATATCTCTTAACATAATTACATCCATATTAGCAACAATTATCTGTACTATTAATATATTACAAGAAACTAATATTATATTTATAACTTACAATAAGCTAATAAGAAGAAACTTTTAAGAATATTTCCTAAGGGTACATACCATTGTTATATATGCATAATATTTGTATAATTGACATTTATTTTATCTTTTCAAGGATATCAAACTTTTCGATTTGTGTGTAAGCGGAAAAGTGATGCAAAAATTGTAAACCGAAGGATGTGTGATCAAAGTAAATTGTACCAACCAGAGACTGTGAAAAGAGCATGTAATACACAGCCATGTGAAAGACCAAAGTGAGTAACAATACTGCACTTATGATGTAAGAATTATTAATTGCAGTAACTATTGTCTGTAAATCTCATAAAATGCCATCACTGTCAGCTTTGTCAGTTATTTGGGTATCACATTATTGGGAATAGATGCAATTAAACGTTGAGATCTCTTTGAGACTGTCAGTGTTTAATTCTACCCAGTCATCGCATCCACTGATACTATGTAACAATTGGATGTCA